GTTCGGTTTTGGCATTTTGATATGCTAGTTATTTTAACGCTCGGTTTTGGCGTTTTGGTAACTCTTAAGCGTTCGACCTGGATCAGAGGTTTGTGTATGGTCGTTCGTCATACAGCGTTCGGTAGCAAATCCCGTATTGCCCGAGCGTCCAAAAGTAGTGGTGGCTGCGTTTTTAAATTTGTCTGAGCATTACAGCGAGGATTCCCACTTTCAACTGCCAAAAATGTCTGCCATTAACCGTCCTCCGAAAATGTCCACTCACAGTATGGGTTTCTGCAAGAAGAGAATATTTTTTGGCTGAGTATGGGTTTCTGAAAGAGAGAATCATTTTTTTTTGCTGGCACTTTCACTTTTGGGTTGTCATACACGAGTGCCCATCTTGCACCTCTGTACAGATTCCATCTGTAAAGCCTGCTACACCACTACAACACTCTCGATGCTGGGAGAAGAGGATTTTACAGAAAAGGGGAGACTCACCAAGAAAGGGGGCGGGAATGCACTTACTAAAGGTTACGAAAAAGGGAGGAGAGGATCGGTTTTTTTCCTAGGAACAAGAGAGATCAATCCAAGGAGGGAGGAGAAACAGAGACTGGTTACTGGAAAAAGAAGGTCAGCCATAAGGAGAAAGAATCCATCGATACGTGTCCCATCACTTTGGCGTAGTATAGAATTAAGGTCCACTATCGGTTTTGTGTCACTCCATGCCCGCAACCGCAACTACAATTCATTTTCAAACAATAAAACCATCATACCCTATTTTCAAAGAAAGTTATAAGTTTTGATAATATTAAATATACTTACATTCTTGTAACCTTCTTCTTTTGTGCAATCCATGACTACCAATCCAACAAAATTACAACAACAATGTAAGATTAACCAAAGAACATGTATACAAATCAGTAACACAACAAAATCCACTTGGGAGACGTATCATACATAACCAAATCCATCCACAAACAACATCATCCATGTATTAAACATTCATTCCACTGGAAAAAAAAAAAAAAAACCTTGAGTGAAGACGACGTGTGGCGGTTGGAACAGAGACGATTGCCTAAGGTGTGGGTGAGACTGACAACCCGGAAAACCCCTCTTTTTGGTCCACCGAACAGTCCACACTCCGCGACACTCCGACGATGCTCCGTCGGCACTCCGGCGGCACTCCAGGACAGGGCCGGAGCAGCTGGGACGAAGCGACACCTTGAACGCGCCCCTAAGTCGCTGGGCCGGAACGGACGGAACACGATGACGTGTTCGCTTCGAGCGGTCGACGTCGGAGCTGCGGCGGCCGTGAAATGGAACCGGTTGGACGGGTTGAATATCTCCGACACGGCCTTCAACGTTGTCCGCCGGCACTCCGGCAAGCACTCCGTATCTCTCTCTCGCTCGAACCCCCTTTCTCCAACTCTCGGCCTCTCTCTAGGTCACAGCCTCCCTTTGAATGTTCGCGCCGCTTCTCTCTCTACTATGTTCGAAATGAATTTCAAATTTCAAACGCAACTTCTAACCCTGCCCACCCCTTCCCACGTCAGATTTCGGCAGTTTTTTCATTAAAAACGTGGACCGCTCACATTTAGACACGTATCCCATGTCTAAATGTTGTCAAATAAAGTTATTGAAGTATCATTTTCCAAAAAAAAAATAGCATAAAGGACTCTAAAAGACACCTTGAGAGCGTAATATCGATCACCCATCCCACTATCAAAACTTAAGCAAAAAAATGCGCAGTGTAATAGCAACACTTTCAACACAACACAGCTGTTTCCACTACCACACGCAAACCACCTTCCTCACTACTACCCTTATCCCAATCCAATCCCTCTCCTTCCGCACTCCCAATCACAACTTCAGACTCCTCTGCTTCTCTTCAGACCCCTCGCCGCCGCTGGTGGTCGTCGGCTCCGCCAACGCAGACATCTACGTCGAGATCGACCGCCTACCGCGCAAGGGCGAGACTCTCGCGGCGAGGTCCGGCCAGACGCTCGCCGGCGGGAAGGGCGCCAACCAGGCCACGTGCTCCGCCAAGCTCAACTACCCGACTTACTTCGTCGGACAGGTCGGGGATGATGCCTATGGAAGCCTCGTCACTGACGCGCTGCGCGGCGGGGGAGTTCGCCTCGACGGTCTCACGGTAGTTCCGTCGGCGTCCACGGGTCACGCCGTTGTGATGCTCCAATCCAACGGCCAGAACTCCATCGTATACATTGGTGGTGCTAACTTGAGTTGTTGGCACAGTATTCTGCCACGTCAGCATTTGGACCTCGTGGCCCAAGCTGGCATCGTTTTATTGCAAAGGGAGATTCCCGACTTTGTCAACGCTCAAGTCGCGCAGGTTGGGCCGGGCCGGGCCTTTTCGGAATGTTTATAGTACCTGTTTTAATTACAATGTTTAATTACTCATTTCCTCTTACAATCGCATGATACATGTGTTTAGTGCTTACATATACACTGTTTTTTAATTCGTTTTACACAATCCGTTCCAGTTTCTGTAATTTCAAACCTTGTTAGAAGTAAAGATTTTGCTGAGGCAACATACTTTATTATACGAATTAGTGTGATCGAAGAAAAATAATGAAAGTAAGTAGTTAACAAATTTTGGTTTTGTGATTGATTTTGTGATTCGTATTTGTGAGGTATTTTGGATATTGCATTGTGTGATATGATCTTGTAATGCATGAAGGCTGCAAGGAATGCTGGTGTGCCGGTTGTGTTGGACGCTGGAGGAATGGATGGGCCACTTGCGCCGGAATTATTGAACTTTGTTGATATTTTGAGTCCTAATGAAACTGAACTTGGTCGCCTCACAGGAATGCCAACGGAAAGTTTTGAAGAGATTGCACGAGCTGCTTTGAAATGCCATGAATTAGTGAGTTCAAGTTGGAACTTTGGGATTAGACTGAAATGTTTTTGTGTAATTTGCTACTTGAATGCGGTTTTAAATTCTGGTTTTAATTGCAATGGCGGTTTTTTAAACTCACAATACTTAGTACTGAGGGAAATTGCACACGAGTGTAGTCGCAGTTGCACTTTTGTTGCGATCATGAATATTGAAGAAAATTTCTTAGAAACATGGTCGCAGTTGTGGTTGCCAACTGTTTTTAGAACCTTGAGAATTATAATAAAGAATGATAATTTTTCAAATGTGGCCTCCCTTTTGGATAAACTTTTTAATAAACATTTCTAGGTAAATTGAATTGAAATCAACTTATATACTTTAACTTGCATGCTAGCTCTCTTATTTTATTTCTCCAAAAGTTGTTTTAATTTTGTACATTGGCAAATTTAAGTTGTTGCAATAGTCTCAATTGTTCTTGTTCTGTGGTTATGTATCTGGAATTTCAAGGAGCTAAGAAAGTTCTTGTTATTTGTCTGAAATTTTAGGGAGCTAAGAAAGTTCTTGCGAAACTTGGCCACAAAGGATCTGCTCTTTTTGTAGAAGGAGAAAAGCCGATTCAGCAGCCTGCCATACTTTCTAAAACAGTCATTGATACAACTGGTGCCGGTGATACTTTTACTTCTGCTTTTGCTGTAGCTTTAGTAGAGGGTAAGTCCTACAGGGAATGCCTAAGATTTGCCGGTGCGTATGCAATTCTTTTTTCTTTGTAGAATTTTCTGTTTGGAATATTGTCCTTAACTACTATGTTATGCCACAGCTGCTGCAGCTTGTCTTTGTGTTCAAGTGAAGGGAGCTTCTCCCAGCATGCCTGATAGGATATCTGTTATGGATCTTCTCAATTGTCAATGATAATTTTTTCTAACAGGTCAATCTTCACTGAAACCAGTTTAACATTTGTTTCATTTGTCTGGATTTACTATCTTATATTTTAGAGAAGAAAAATCATAATGCAGACTTCTAGAGAAAGTTCCTTGTATCCATATCTCTATATGCTATGTTTTTGGTAGTCTTGCTTGCTGTTCAGTGTAAATTTCATGTTCCTGACTGTAATTAAATGGTCTTTGTCATTACATTTTCAGGCACAGTTTCAACTAATAACTACTGTTTAGTTTCGTTAGATGCATTCCTACCACAATTCATATGTCCGTTTATTAAAACTTTCTCAAATAGTTTGTGAACAACATATTTGTTTCTACATGGAAATTGTAGTTCTTAAATTGGAAACTGTGTTAGTTACTTTCTTATTGTATTAATTATTAATTATTTTACACACGAGTACAAATCAGTGAAATTTTTTGAAACAGAGTTTCAACTACTGATAACAATCCACTTTTAGTTGTCAAAGGTCACAATGCGGACTACCTGGAACAAAATAACTATAAATGGCAGAGGAAAAGACCCAGAAAACAGAGTTTTTCTGTGATAGGATGAAACTAACCGCTAGTCAAAGGATTAGGGCAAGCTTGATTTTAGGGAAGAAAATAAAGAAGGTAAACATATTTCTTCTTACCTATAATACCTATATAATCCAAGGGAACTATATTTAAATCAGAGGGTAACATGGGGGATTAAATATTTCACTCAATCAGCTTTTTCAAGTCTGTCTTCATATAATAACTAGTTCATGCAAGTAAAAATCTAGATTGGTCAGTATTATTATTACAATTGGTTTATTGATTAAACATTTTTATTTATTATTTTGTTAATATTATATATTTAGAAATTTATTTCATTTTGTATTTTAATATTTTATCACTGAATTAATCCTTAAGAAAAGAAAAGAAAAAGCTCCAATGCCACCTTTTATAACTGAATCAATCCAAATATTAAGACATATTAACAACAACGGTAATTAAATATTACTATTTTGTGAGATTATCGTCTTTCTGTGTATTATTACATTTTAGTCCCTTAATCAAAAAATGTTTTTATTTATTTATAATATAAAAAAAGAATATATTTAATCAACACAACATCACTTAAGCTAAAAGAGACGAAAAGAAATATTTGAAAATTTTAACTAAATTTATATTAATTAAATAGTTTTTTAATGGATAATATATTAGATCATAGTTATTAAACAGTATCATCTTAAAATGTAAAGAATAATTTAAAATTTTAATCCCTATCACTGTCCGAAAAGTAAAATATTAACAAATCTCGTTAAAGCAATGATAATCCTTTTTAATTAATAGCTAAAAGGCAGTTGGAAAAAAGTGACCTTTTTCATAGTAAATAGCTCCATCTGTGTAACCTCTCAGCACATAGAACGATCAAACCAACCGGGTCCAACCCAAAGATCGAAATGAACACCTTAACGACAACGTTTTCCACGCACCACTCCTACTCCCACACCACTTTCCACACTACCCTTATCCCAATCCAATCCCTCTCCTTCCGCACTCCCAATCACAAGTTCAGACTCTTATGTTTCTCCTCGGATCCCTCTCATTCGCAGCCGGTCGTCGTCGTCGGCTCTGCCAACGCCGACATCTATGTAGAGATCGATCGCCTCCCGCTAGAAGGCGAGACCCTCGCTGCAAAGTCCGGCGAGACGCTTGCCGGCGGCAAGGGCGCCAATCAGGCCACGTGCTCCGCGAAGCTCTCCCATCCGACCTACTTCATCGGACAAGTTGGTGATGACGCTTATGGTAGCCTCGTCACCGGCGCTCTTCGCAGCGGTGCTGTACGCCTCGATAGTCTGACGGTGGTTCCGTCCGTGCCCACTGGTCACGCCGTTGTGATGCTCCAATCCAACGGCCAGAACTCCATCATCATCATCGGGGGTGCTAACTCGAGTGGTTGGCCCAGTTCCCTGCCACGTCAGCATTTGGACATCGTGGCCCAAGCCGGCATTGTTTTGTTGCAGAGGGAGATACCGGATTATGTCAACGTTCAAGTGGCGCAGGTTGGGCCGGACCAGCCCAGGCCTTTTAGCAATATTATTAGAGTTTTATGTCGTTACATGTTAACAACCTAGAAGCAATGATTTTGATCAAAGAACAAAATTGACAAAATTATATCGCATAAGAAACTTTTGGGTATTGCGATGTGTTATTATGATCTTGTAATGCATGCAGGCTGCGAGGAATGCTGGCGTGCCTGTTGTGTTGGATGCCGGAGGAATGGATGGACCACTTCCGCCGCAATTATTGAATTTTGTTGATATTTTGAGTCCTAATGAAACTGAACTTGCTCGCATTACTGGAATGCCGACTGGAAGTTTTGAACAGATTGCACAGGCTGCTTTGAAATGCCATGAATTGGTGAGTTCATGTATGGAATTTGGATATCACATTAATATGATTTGTGACGCATTTTGCTAATTGAATGCATTTTTGTTGCCTGAGGATTTTTAAGGTTTTAAATCTCGAGTATAGTTGCAATTACGGCTTTATTTTGATTCCTATTGTTGAGGAAGATTGCTAATAAATGTGGTTGCAATAGCCGTTGCTGACTGTATTTTAGAACCTTGTGATTATCTTGCTTAGAATTTTGATAAATGTGGGTATATATGCAATTGTGGTTTTATTGTGATTCGTTGAATTGAGGAAAATTGCTGACATATGAAGTTGCAATTGTGGCTGCTGACTATTTGTTAACACCTTGAGGATGAAAGCACAATTTTTCGAATGTAATATTTGAAGATCTGATGTAACATTGAGATTTTCTGATACTAGTATCATTTGCTTCAGTATCATTTATGTTTTTTGGCTGCATAGATGGCATTCAAACAATTGCACCCGACCCACCTTTTACCCAGTCCACAATGGGCGTGGTGGACCGAATTGACCTACCAACCCATCTTAAAAGATGAAAAAAATCACGTAATTGTAAAAATAGTGTTATTCACTATGTATTATGATTTATGTGAAAACATGGAATTAAAATCTGGAAAACTTGAAGTTTATCTGCGTTGAGGAGTGAGTTGGTGTGATGATATCTTTAATTCTGTAGTTTGTTATGAATTATGTATTATATTAAATCCTTAATTTTTCATTATGAAGTCTGAATTTTTACGTATTATGTTTTGTCAAATATATAAAAAATATTTGAAATAGAATATTTAATTTTTTATTTTAAGGATAACTGTTTTATAATTTAGGTTAATCAACCCTCTAATCCATCAATCCGCAATATACTGCAGGGGTTAATGTTTCTTGGATTACATGTTAAGTGAGCCGAATGAGGCTAATTTGTTTATAATTTAGTCAAGGTGAGCCGAACTGCTCGTTTTGAGAGCTAAATGTTTAATCCTCTTGGCATTTACAACTTGCCTGAGGAAAAGATTGGGGAGGGTAATATAATTTTATATTTGATTTTCTTTTCGTTGAATCCAATTAATGCAAATTCATCATGCATAAGGGAAAGGATACTACAAGGAAAGCAAGATGGCTAATGACCAATAAACTATTGGTTCTGCTTTTTCTTTTATGTTTTCTGTACTGTTACTCAATGGCCGCAGTAGATTTGCAGCTGTGTCAGAGTTTATCTTCAAATGTCTTGGTTGATTCCTGAAGGTTGATAGACTGATAGATAAATTTTATTGTCATAAGCATTGCAATTCAACGGTTATTTGTCTGACATTTCAGGGAGTTAAACAAGTTCTTGTGAAACTTGGGCATAAAGGATCTGCCCTTTTTGTAGAAGGAGAAAAACCGATTCAGCAGCCTGCCATATTAGCTAAAACAGTCGTAGATACAACTGGTGCTGGTGATACTTTTACTGCCGCTTTTGCTGTGGCCTTAGTTGAGGGCAAGTCCAGAAAGGAATGCCTCAGATTTGCTGGTATGTATGGAGGAATGCAATTCTTCTTCAGAATTTTCTCTTTGGTAAAATATGACTAACCATAATGTTCTGCATCAGCTGCTGCAGCTTGTCTTTGTGTTCAAGTTAAGGGAGCCTCTCCCAGCATGCCAGATAGGAAATCTGTTTTGGATCTACTTAATCGTCAATGAATATACTTGCAAAAGGTCAATTTTCACTGAAACACTTTTACCTTTGTTTCAATTGTTTGGACTTATCGCTTGTTCTTGTTTAGTGAGGAAAATCAATAATTTAGACTTCTAGGTGACGTGCCTGGCAGCGGTATCTTTATATGCTATTTGTTGCTTTCCTTCCCATTCTGAATCAATTTTCTGATGCTCCTGACAATAATTGGATGGTCTTTGTCATTACAGATTCACGCGTGGCTCTCAAGTACATAACTATTATTTAGTTTTATTAAATGCGTTGCTAATACAATTCACGTGTCCATTTATTAAAATTTTCTCTAGTTTGTCCTATTATTAATGCTGTTTTGTGAACATATTTGTTTCAAAATGCTAAATGAGCAGTCAGTGCGTACAAAGGAGAATCTTTAAGTCTCTTCCTATTCTATTAATTTTTTCCTGCCGAAGAACGAATCAATGAAGATTTTTGAAAACACGTGGTTTCAATAACTGATAATTGTCTTACTTTTTACTGTCAGTGATCACAATTTGGATCAGGAACAGAAATAGTTGTGTATGACAGGGAAAGACACTTCAAAATCATTTACACAGCATTTCTGGTAGATTGAATAGTTTGTTGTCATTGTAGTAAGATTAGGCCAAACACTTACCCTTTGACAATGAAAGCAAAATCAAGAGAATAGGAAAAAAAATGTTCTAAACGATGTTAGGTGTAAGAGAACAAAAGAAAATAGTTAACTTCCTCTTTGTTTGGTGAGACGAGTGTTGAAAAATTAACGAAGTGAAAGATATATCTATCCTGAAACATCGCTTTATTCATCCCAGGACCTTTTTTAAAAAAATTTATGCCTAGAGGTAATCATTTGTTCGACATTGATTTTAGTGTGGAAACTGAATACTTTCTCAAAATTGACATATATTTTTCATAGTCCATGATTCTGACTAGCAGAATCACCAAATATTGCCTAACGTAAGTGGGCTATTTCAAGCCAATAAATCTTAAAGGAAACAATAACTTAAAGATGTAAGGTGTAGAAGCAACCATATTCAAGTAGTATTACGATAAAATGTCTTTTTATTTATATAAGCGGGTTGTGAAATATTTTGTTTCAGGGTGTTTTCATAAAATTTTCTTAAATTTCAGCCTCTGCCCAAATCTCCATTACAATACATGTCAGTCAAGTTTCACAGAAAGAAAAAAAAAATACTTCATTTTAATCCTGTTTTAACACAAAAGGATAGAAAGAGAAACAAATTAGTAAAGCATGTAAAGGTGGATTACCAGATTATATAAAGTAGTAATTTAAATTTGAATCTATAGCTGTGAATTATATATATTAAATATTTAGAGAGATTATACTTTATTACACGTAATAATCTTATTTTATTCAAACTATATTGCCTTTAACAAAAGATATACGCGATTTCATAAAATAATATGATAGCATTTATCGTATCTTTTCATCATGGTGTCAGAATGGAATTGTCTAATAAAAATATTTATGCCATACCCATGGACTCCATTCAGTGTAGTATGCAGGGAAAGTAACAGAAACATTCACACAAAAAACGCCAAAATAGTACGATAAGGCATTAAAAAAAATTCAAACAGTGTCTAGAAAAGAAGCCCCTGTATTTTTAGACACTACATGTACCATCGTAAAAAGATATTTAATACTCAGACTTTATGAAATGTCAGTGTCTGTATGGTATATTCTTAATAATGTTTGTGAGGGGTACCCTCACATCATATAAATTTCTCTTTTTTCTTCTAAGCCTCAAAACATATGTGTTTTCCTTTAAATTCCCATAAGCTAACAAAAGCATGGTAGCTAATCATTTTTCTCTAAAGCTACATGTTCACCACTTCATGAACAGAAAATATGAATCAGTCTTCCAGCGTTCTCATCATTCTTCTTCTGCTATCCCATTTCTTCCCATATTCAAGCTCAAGCACAAGAATAATGATTCAAAAAGTCACAGAAACAGATCATCATCATCATCACCCAGTAAGTGTATATATAATTTCTTTGATATGATCCACCATCACCTTTTCTTTGTGTAATAGCAAGAGAAGATGCTAAGTCATGTTTTCTCTTCCCAGCCAAGAGGAACTGAGAGGGATCATGTTCAAAGGAAAGCATTGCATGAAGTACACTCAGGGCCTAATCCTATCAGTAATTCCTTTCCACAGCAAAAGTTGAACTCAGATACACATAAACATTAGCTCTTCTTTTCCATATGTTAAATTCATTTTTCTTTTTCTTTAAACTCTATATTTTTCCTTTCTGTTCTTTCTTCCTTCATCATATTTCGTATACATATTTTCAGTCAGCTTATTGAATCATATAATGAATCTAAATTCAGTTTGAAGCATAACGTCCATTTTCATCACTTCTTTACTCTCTTGTATATATTTGTCTCTCTCTCTCTCTCTCTCTCTCTCTCTCTCTCTCTCTCTCTCTCTCTCTCTCTCTCTCTCTCTCTCTCTCTCTCTCTCTCTCTCTCTCTCTCTCTCTCTCTCTCTCTCTCTCTCTCTCTCTCTCTCTCTCTCTCTCTCTCTCTCTCTCTCTCTCTCTCTCTCTCTCTCTCTCTCTCTCTCTCTCTCTCTCTCTCTCTCTCTCTCTCTCTCTCTCTCTCTCTCTCTCTCTCTCTCTCTCTCTCTCTCTCTCTCTCTCTCTCTCTCTCTCTCTCTCTCTCTCTCTCTCTCTCTCTCTCTCTCTCTCTCTCTCTCTCTCTCTCTCTCTCTCTCTCTCTCTCTCTCTCTCTCTCTCTCTCTCTCTNATATATATATATATATATATATATAAGCTCAATCATCACTTGTTATTGGGTAAGGAGAGAGTTTTCATTCAGGTTAAATAGAAGTGAGAGTCATGCTGTTTAATAATTAAAGTTTGAATTAATTTAAAGGATTTGATTGTGATGTTTAAATTTTTTTTTTTTTTGGTATTTGAGTATTTCCCTGGAGACATGAAACAATAATCGGAAGTACTTAATTTATTGGAAGTGCAAGTAGCACTTAGGAAAGAAAGAATGATTGATATCTCATTACTCTAATCAGCATAATTATGTCATTAATATACTAATAGTGTTTATGATTCAAGGTGTCCATTTATATACTTTACTTCACTTCACAAATTTTGTTGTTGTTGGTGAATTATTAGTGTTTATTGATTTAGTCTCATCCTATAAACTCAACCAACTAAATAATAATTATATAAAATGAAACAACCCTACCAAATAAATTAGTGTTGTAGTGGTTCTTTTATTTGATTTGGATTTGACTAATCAATCTAATAAGACTTGATCTCCAATGATTTGAATATATATCTCATCATCCACCATTTTACTATTTATTTCCCTTTTTATTTACTTTTATTTTCCATAAGCCATAAACCGATTTTTTAAAATTTTAGTTTTGTATCCTTTGAATAAATAGCAATCATAAGGGACTTCAGTTTTTTTTTTTAAAACAATTTGTTAATTTTATCACAACACTAAAAGAGTAGAATTGATTTAACTTGTTTTTCCTTTACCATGTTTTGGTTTAATTTTTTTTCTTTCAAAAATGTCACCATTGAATCAAACAATTTTGATTGATTAGCTTTTTTTTTCCCCACATCAAACCAATCCAACTCATTTGTGGAGAATGTTAAAATATTTCAAAATGTATTGGTTTAGACAATAAATAAAATTATAAAAAAGTTCTGTCTAAGTGTGTATCTTTACCACACTTTTTCACTCATGTGTTTTTTTCAATGAAAAATAAATAAATAATTGTTTGATTTTACATTTAACACAATTACTATTATTGAACGGGTAAGCAAGAAATAATGAATTTTCAATCGTTTTCCTTGAGACACTTTTTAACTAGAATTAATTTGCATGGTTAATTTGAAAGTTGTCACCAAAGATACAAGTAATTTGGAAATAACTATTGATAAACTTATTGTAAATATAATTTAGAGATGAATATTTTGTCTATAGATATAGATAGTGATAAAAGACACTATGGCCTCATATGATCATATAAGTAGCAACCCATATGATAGAATAAGACTTTATTGATATTGCTGTATTTTTTTGACTTATTGTAAGCTTATGTTCACAAATAATGTGCATTCCTGTTGAAACCTTCTTAGTGGATATTGATTTTAACTATGCTTTGGTAAAATCTATAATGACATTTCATCTCAACATAGTACAATTAGCACTACAAAGAAAAGCAGTGTGAAAAATTGTCACCCATCATTACTTTCTATACCTAACTAGTTAGATAAAAAACAGAACACACTATTATAAGTGGAACTGTGATATTTTGTAAAGTTTTATGAAATTTATAGATTTTAATTTACAAAATTTAATAGAAATTTAGCAGAAAGACTTCACAAAATAAAAAAAAATAGGAAGAGAATTATAAGTATTAATAAAATGTTTATATGTTCTAAATTTCTCTCACACAAAGAGTTTTAGTATTACTTTTTATAATTAAAATTTTCAGCTTTTGTTCATAATATGAAATTTGTTCCTTCTGGTTATTTGTTTAGCAAAAGAATTATTTCAAATAACCTTTATTGGTTATAAAATAAGTATCAATGATATCACGTTATTTTGAAATGATTTTGAATAAAATGTCATTTTTAATTGTATTGTGTTAACACTGATATACAAACCAAGTTTTCCTTCTCATTTATTGTTAAGAAGTGGACTTTAAACCTAACGGAATCCTACAAAACTAGTTTATAAGATGAGGTTTACACCCACTTATATATTATAAATTCGTTTTATCTCTAATCAATGTGAGACTTCCAACAATATATAAGTGAGTACAAACATCACCTACAAGCCGGTTTTGAGAAGTTGAGTTAAGCTTAGAGTCCACTTCTTAACATATATTAAAAAAAAATCTAATTATATTATTTTTGGTTATTCCCACATATTAAACCAAAATCTAATCATAGTATTTAAACACTACTAAACTTCTTTGTCAATCCTATAACAATCAAATAATTGTGAAAGCTCCATCATAGAAATTTAACGAAATGATTGACACAAAATGAGATTAATATTATGAAGAAAGGCATGTGGATTAGTTAATGAAAAAGTGATGTGACCTAAGAAAAAGAAAAAGGAGAGAAGAGAAGAAAAAGCAAAGGCAGCCATATGATTCTATTCCCTATAATTGACCATCTTCACCAACGTACCAAGTTTGGCTTCTTTCAGAAAAAGGACATCCATTTGTTTCGAGGTTTTTTTAAATGTTAACTTTGCAAAAGATTGCATTGGTCTAACAATCACCAAAAGTGAAAAAGAAATACCAAACAGGGGTCACCATGAAAAGCATACTTGTACGAAATTCAGCACAAAAAATAAAGCTCATTATATTCAGTTTTTGGGTATTGGCTTTAGGAAGAAGGGTAATGAGATTGTGTAACTTGTTTGTATCTTGTTTTTAATGGACATAGATATACTCGTCTTATCTTTTATCGTGTTTTAAATATTAATAAAATATATTTTTTTATAAAAAATAAAAATTACAAAAAGTTATTAATATCAAAAGAACACACAAATAATAACTGCATAAATATAAAGTAATTATAGAAAAAATTTATAACAATTATAATATTGTTGTTGTGTATATGAAATGAGTTAAATTATTGAGAAATAAAATTAATAAAGCTCATATTTTCAATATAATGAAATCTTAAGACTTATAAGACTTTTCTTTTAACAAAGAAAGCGTTAGACGATGAAAGCTTAGAGAGAGAATAACAACGTAAGATTCAAAGATAAATTCTTGTATTATTCTCTTCATCTACTCCTCTTTATATAGTCTTCTTCGATAAAGATCTATTACTAAAAGCAACCGTGCCTTTAGGTACAGAGTCAGGTCCTAAGTCCTAGGTACAAAGTCAGGTCCTAGGT